CGGGGAACAGAAAACAAGTACTGGCAAGGTATGTAGTGAAACTGAAACCCTCCTGCACTGTCGACTGAGTATAAAATGGTGCAGCTGCCATATTAAACGGTATAGTGGTTCCTTACAATAAAGATAGAACTACTATATGATCCAACAATTCTACTTCTGGGTACCTACTCCAAAGTATCAAAAAGAGGGAATTTAAAGGGATATTTACATACATCACAGCAACATTATTTACAATCATCAGAAGGTGGAAGCAATCCAAATGTCCACCAAAGGTGAATGAAAAAGCAAAATGTGGTATATACATACCATGGGATGTTACTTAGCCTTAAAGAGGAAAGAAATTCCGACACATACCAAAACAGATGAATTTTGAGGCCATTATATTAAGTAAAATAAGCCAATCACAAAAAAACAAATACTGTATGTTTCCACTTAAATAAAGTACCTAGAGTAGTCAAATTCAGAGACAGTGAGTAGAGTGGTGGTTGCCAGGGAATGGGGGGAATGGAGAGTAGTTCAATGGGTAACTGTGCAAGATGAAGAGTTCTGGAGATTGGTTGTACAACAATGTGAAGGTACTTAACAATCTGTATTTTACCACAATTTTTAAAAAATTTTAAACAGTAACTTCAAACAGCTATATTACCTTTACATTCCAAAATCACTTTGCACTCTGAAAGATACCAGCCTTCTTCATCTCCTCAAAATCTTTCATGGAATCATAATTTCTGTAGAAATCTGCATACGCCTTCTTTCTTGGTTCGGCCACAGCAAACTAAAAAGTAACATATCCCATTAGGGCTTATTTTTTAAATCATTAGAAACAATATCCAAAGACAACACAAATCATAATGTTTGTGTTCGTTCACCTTTAACTTGAACTCTGTATTTCCTAAGACAAAGGTTGGAAGCACTGACACAGATGGAAAGGAAGAGCCTCATGGAAACTACTCAGCAAGAGGGGCCTTCCTTGCTTGGGGACAGATTACTCCTTTTGTTGGGTGTGAGTGTGTACACTGGTAAGAGCCAAATGAAGATACCCAGAAAGCTAAAAGGTTTTAGGGAGAAGACAGCTGCCTTCCCTCCAGCAAAACCCAAATATCCCCACAGCTGACACATGCTAAAATATTCTGGTTCAATTTAAATTACATTAATTTCAAAGGAGTCAGATCAATTCAGTACTCACCTGCCTCTAAAAGGCACAAGAAGCTTTCTATCTGGTAAGAACAGTTCCAGGTAATTTACACTTCAACATCATTTAAGCCCTTAGAATAGATATTGAACTGTTTTACAGATGAGGTATTGGAACTCAGAATTTAAGTAACCTGATTAAAGTCTAGGAAGAAGCACTAGTTGGTAGATGGGTCAGCCAGGATTCAAACCCAGGTCTTTCATTTGGCAAAGGTTTTATTTTCCACAAAACACTACCTAGTGGATTTCAATGCATGGGTTATATAATACAAAATCAAATCCCATCCTGCATAAAAAAAAACAGTAAAAATTCGTCAAGTGCCAAACTACATCCATTAAGGTATTGCAGACATACACAGAATCATGACACTTGGTATGAATATGGTAAGAGCCCTTTACTTGACAAGTTTGACTGCCTCACCTCCTATCTAAATTCCCAACCACTTTCTTCCAGGGAGACCAAGAGGCAGGAGCCCCAATGCAACCCTCTGAATGCCAGCCCATTACCCAGAAGATAACTGAGCATTTCTTGTTAGAACAAGAAAAATATTTTTCCTTTTAAAAACATGGTATGCTAGGGGCACATGGGTGGCTCAGGTGGTTGAGCGTCCAACTTTGGCTCAGGTCGTGATGGCATGGCTGGTGAGTTCAAGTCCCGCATCAGGCTCTGTGCTGACACCTCAGAGCCTGGAGCCTCCTTCAGATTCTGTGTCTCCCTCTCTCTCTACCCCTCCCCTGCTCACACTCTGTCTTTCTCTCTCAAAAATAAACATTAAAAAAAATTTTTTTTAATGTATAAATAAAAATAAAAACATTGTACACTAAGGCAGACAAAAATAAAGTAAAAGGCTCAGTGAACCCAAAAAATAACAGCAAATGGGTGTTACAGCTCTACCTAAATTGTTTTGTTTTGTTACACTTGAACTAGACTCTTTTTAGGTCAAAAATCTGGTAGTCAAAAAAAAAAAAACTATTAACTTAGATCCACTACACCATGAGTTACTTGAAAGCCATAAAATCTATATCTGAGGCCTTACACAAAACAAGCTAATACCTGAAAATTTAGAACAAGCCTAATTTATATAACAGTAATTGCTCTACCTACAGGGGAAAATCCCTTCAGGATAAGTCTTGTCTCAAAATCTAACCCATATTCATGAATTTTGGCTTAGCAGATTAACTTAACCAAAAATGATTCACTGGTGGGCAACTTCATGTAAAAAGCATAAAAGCTGATTAAAATTGTGAGTATAAGTCAAACTAAGAATGAAGGCCAAATCAACAAAGCAATCTACACTAACTGGACAGGGGAAATGAAGGAAGCGAGCATCTACCAAGAGAATCAAGTTTACACCTGCCTTAATTCTTTAATAAGAATTTGGATTCCTCAGTGCTTTGGGAACTTTCCATCCAATCAAACACTAACTGTACACAAACATTGACTAATCTACCAAGCAAACTTTAAAACTTTTCATTCAGAATAGATGGACCATGGGTCTGCCATGGTCCCAGCTCTTAATTTAGTAGAAGAGACACAACCTAAAGCAAGTACTATTTAAAATACAATGTGCCCAGGGGCACCTGGGTGGCTCAGTCGGTTGAGCGTCTGACTTTGGCTCAGGTCATGATCTGGCGGTCTATGAGTTCAAGCCCCACGTCAGGCTCTGTGCTGACAGCTCGGAGCCTGGAGCCTGTTTCAGATTCTGTGTCTCCCTCTCTCTCTGCCCCTCCCCTGCTCATGCTACGTCTCTCTCTCTCTCTCTCTCTGTCAAAAATAAATAAACATTAAAAAAAAATTAAAAAAAAATACAATGTGCCCAATACTGTAAAAAACAGTCTGGTACCAAGTGACTGAGAACCTAGCAAAGCACAACCAACGCATCTGGAGGAATAGGCTGCAATTCTATAAAGGAACATTTGAGAATCTTGAGGATAAACTGGAATTTGCCACGCGGTGAGATGAAGACATTACTGTTGTATACAAACTCATGGGAGAAAGCAGAATTGGGTAACAGCAACTACTTACAAAGGGCTGGAGAACAGGGTGTAGTAGGACTGCTGGAAAGAGGATGAAAAGGCAGAAAGGACTAATCAGAAAGTATCTTAAAATCAAAACTAAGTTTCAGCAAATCATCCTTGATCCATTAGTAAGCAATGAAACCAATTTAGAAGATTGCAGCCAGTAGTTAATATATTTACTACAGAGCAAAAATTTGAAAGCCACTGCACACTGGGCATTCAGGAACCCAATGACACAACAGATCTATTCTGGGTTTTTTTTTCTTTAAGTTTATTTACTTATTTTGAGAGACAGCAAGCAATGCAAGCAGTTGAGGGTGAGAGAGAGAGGGAGAGAATTCCAAGCACTAACAGTGTGGAGACCGACATGGGGCTCAAACTGTGAGATCATGACCTGAGCTGAAACCAAGCGTCAGACACTTAATCAACTGTGCCACCCATGCACCCCAAACAGATCTATTCTAGAAGCCAAGGTTCAAAGCGGCAAGAATCCACACAAGTTACAAAGGCCTCAAGTTTGATAGTAACAATTAAGACACTGAGAGTGAAGAAATGAGTCCCCCAAATTTCTCTCCTTACCCCCACTTCATTTACTCATCCATGCATCCTCTTCCCACATTTATTTCATGCCCACTATATGCCAGGTAGAAAAGATCTCATGGAGCAAAGAGTTTATTTACTTTTTTGTGCTTGTCTCTTCAAAGGGGCCCAAAGCAAAGACCTCTTAGTGCTTTTCCTCAAGCTGTTCTCCCTCCCCTTAGCACTTCAAATTCACCCTTTGAAGGCACAAATTCTACCTTCTCTTTCAAAGAGCTATGATCCACAGTGTGACCCACAATATCCTCCTCTCCCACTGAAACAAAGACATCAATCAACTATCAGAGTACAGATCCCGAGTACATGGAGGACAGGGTCCTTTCTCTCCCACCTTTATATAAGCTCTTCCAAACTGTATATAAGCTGCTCCAGAACAGCTCTGGGAAATGAAATGTTCTTTCATTGTTACTGTCTTGCAAGAATACCTAATTTTTTCACCTCCCCCAACTTGACTCTAACTTCTTTAAAGACACATATTTAGAGGTATATACACTTAGTATACTCCGAAGCACCTGGAACTCTATACAATCTACCACTGTACTGAATTTTAGATACTATATCTTATTCAACAGATACTTTTAAGCATCTATTTGTGGGTCAGCCAACTGACAATGGGGTGCCACTGTAAACAAAAAAAGCACCCTGCTCTAATGAGGCTCACAATATACTAAAAAATACTAGAACTAAACACTAAAATTATTAAGTACAAAGCATTGCAAAGCTTTAATTCTCTCATGGGCCACTATGACACATGGTCATAAACATTTTTATAATACCATATGTTTATAATACCATAAACATTTTTATAGAAAAAAGTTGTAAATGTAATGTGGAGACTTAGAGAAATATAAAGCATAAAGAGTATGTTGGGAAAAAGGTGGCATAGGAAACACCAGGAATCTCTCCCAACCTATACAACTGCACTGGCACAATGTGTCTAGTGTAACTTTCCTGAAACTTTGGATCTCTTGAAGGCATACAACAGACAGGTGGCCACTGTTGTTGCCCCCCACCCCCCGTCCCCGCAAGACTCTTTTTCACCTGAGCAATTTCTAGGGAACCTAAAAGGATAGAGCACCTTTCCCCCCGCCCCTTCATTTTTCTCTTTTTCAGAGCCAGACATTAAAGACTAGGACATTCAAAGCCTTCTACATATACAATTCTCAGAGAAATTGCAGAATGGATTAAAAATGACCCAACTAGGGGTGCATGGGTGGCTCAGTCAGTTAAGCATCCACCTTCAGCTCAGGCCATGATCTCACAAACCATGGGTTCAAACCCCACGTTGGGCTCTGTGCTGACAAGTCAGAGCCTAAAGCCTGCTTCATGTTCTGTGTCTCCCTCTCTCTCTGCCCCTCCCCTGCTCCCGCTGTCTCTCAAAAATGAGTAAACGTAAAAAAAAATGACCCAACTATATATGCTATCTACAACAGACTCATTTCAGATCCAAAGACACAAATAGATTGAAAAGGAAAGGGTGAAAAAAGATGTCCTATGTCAACAGTAACCAAAGAGAGTGGCTATACTAGTATCAGACAAGGTAGACTTCAAATCAAAAAAATTACAAGAGACAAAGGACTTTATTTATTCATAAAAGTTTCAATAAGGCAGGAACTTATAGCAATTAGAAACATTTACTCACCCAGTAACACCAGCAAAACATATAAAGCAAACACTGACAGAAATGAAGAGAAAAATATTTCTCCAATAACAGTTAAGACTTTAATAGCCCAATCTCAATAATAGATAAAACCAGACCTAAGTAAGGAAACAGAGGACTTAACTCATGAAACCAACCCGATCTAACACCTATACAAAGAATACTCCACCCAACAACAGACAACACATTCTTCTCAATTTCACATGGGATATTTTCCAGGATAGACTAAACAGGCCACAAATTAAGTGTTAACAGATTTAAAAAGATAGATATACAAAGTATGTTCTCTGATCACAATGGGATGAAATTAAAATCAGTAACAGAAGGAAAACTGGAAAATTCACAAAACTATAAAGTTTAAGCAACAAACATTTAAACAACCAATGGATCAAAGAAGAAATCAGGAATGAAATTAGAAAATATTTAGAGACAAATGAAAGCACAACACACCAAAACTTATGGGATACAGTGAAAGCAGAGCTAAGGGGGGAAAATTTTTAGCTATAAACACACATATTAAAAAACAAGAGAGATCTCAAATCAACAACCTAACATTATAACTTACGGAACTAGGAAAAAGAACAAAATAAACCAAAAGCTAGAAGGAAGGAAATAATAAAGATTAGAGCAGAGATCAACAAAACAGAGACTAGGAAAACAAAAAAGAAAAATCAACGAGGCCAAAAAACTGGTTCTTCAAAACCATAAATAAAATTGACAATCCTTTAGCAAGATGGGCAAAGAAAAAAGAGGGAAGATTCAAATTGGTAACATCAGAAATGAATACTACAGATTCTACAGAAATAAAAAGGATAATAAGAGAATAGTATGAACGACTGTATACCAACAGACTGGATAACCTATATGAAATGGATAAATTCCTATAAACACAAAACCTACCAAGACTAAATTACAAAGAAAGAAAAAATCTGAATAGAACTATAACTATTAAGGATATTGAATCAGTAATCAAAAATCTCCCAACAAAGAAAAGCCTGGACCTGATGACTTCACTGGTCAATTCTACAAAAAAAAAAAAAAAACCTAAAGAATACCAGTCCTTCTGAAATCTTTCCAAGCAACTGAAGTAGAGGAACACTAACTCACTTTATGAGACCAGCATTATACTGATACCAAAGCCAGACAAAACACAGAAAACTACAGGCCAATATCTTCCACGAACACTGATGCAAAGATCCTTGACACAATACTAGCAAATTGAATTCAGCAGCATATTAAAAAGACTGTACGCCATTACCAAGTGAGGTGTATTCCTGGAATGCATGGATGGTTCAACATACAAAATCAATGTAATACACATTAAAAGAATAAAAGAGAAAAAAACCACAATAATCTCAATGCAGACAACGCATTTGACAAAGTCAATACCCTTTCATGATGAAAAAAAAAGAACACCCCATCTAGGAACAGAATGAAATTACCTCCACATAACCCATAAGATGTCCACTGTTGTACTTCTATTCAACACAGTACTCTAAGTTCTAGGCAGAACAATTAGGCAAGAAAGAGAAATAAAAGGCATCCAAATGAGAAAGGAAGAAGCATAATCATCTGTCTACAGATGATGTATGTAGAAAACCCTAAAAATTCCACACAGAAAAAAAAACTCGTTAGATAACAGCAAAGCTAGCAGGATGTAAAACGTAAGATGGTGCCACGGAAAACAGCATGGTGGTTGCTTAAAAAATTACACACAGTGGGGCGCCTGGGTGGCGCAGTCGGTTAAGCGTCCGACTTCAGCCAGGTCACGATCTCACGGTCCGGGAGTTCGAGCCCCGCGTCGGGCTCTGGGCTGATGGCTCAGAGCCTGGAGCCTGTTTCCAATTCTGTGTCTCCCTCTCTCTCTGCCCCTCCCCCGTTCATGCTCTGTCTCTCTCTGTCCCAAAAATAAATAAAACGTTGAAAAAAAAAAAATTACACACAGAATTACCAAATGATCTATCCATTCCACTTCTGGATATATACTGAAAAAAATTAAAAGCAGGGTCTCGAAGAGATACCTGTAACCCATGTTCATAGAAGCATTATTCACAATAGCTAAAACATGGAAGCAACCCAAGTGTCCATCAAAGGTGAATGAATAAGCAAACTGTGGTACCAACATACCATAGAATGTTATTCGCCCTTAAAAAGAAAGGAAATTCTGACACACGCTATGACAAGGATGAAACTTGAGGATATTATGCTAAGTGAAATAAGCCAGTTACAAAAAGACAAAATAACGTAGGATTCCATTTACATGAGGTACCTAGAGCAGTCAAATTAAGACACAGAAAGCAGAACTGTTCCATGGGCTGGGAGTGGGGAAGGGATGGGTTTACTGTCAAATGGGTACAGTTTCAGTTTTACGAGATGAAACAGTTATGGAGGTGAATGGTAGCAATGGTCATACGACATTATAAATGTATTTAATACCACTGAATTGTACACATAAAAATGGCTACATTTTGTGTATTCTACCACAATACAAAAAAATTATTTAGAAAAACCCAAAGGGCATAATGTTAAAATTCACAGGAGACAGAGCGTTAAAATGCAGTTCTATGGCAACAAATCCATTAAGGTTACTTACCAAACAGAACTACTGCCTTCCTGACATCCCTCTGCTTTAATAAAATTATATCCTTGTGTTACGGACTGAACTGTGTCTTCCAAAACTCATGCATTGGAATCTTAAACCTCTAATACCTCAGAATGTAACCAGATTTAGAGATGGGTCTTTAAAGAGGTAAATTAAAACGAGGTTTGTGAGTCCCAATCCAATATGACTAGCATCCTTGCAAGAGGAAATTCAAACAAAAACACAGTAGCACAGAGAACCATGTGAAGACAAAGGGAGAAACCCACCTACAAGCCAAGGAGAGAGGCTTCAAAAGAAATCCACCTTGCAGTCACACTGATCTTGGATCTCCAACCCCCAGAACACTAAATAAATTTGTTTAAGCCACCCAATTTGTTGTACTTTGTCTGGCAGCCCTTAAAAACTAATACTGCTTCCTTTAAAGTTGAAGAACAAGCTATCTAGAGAATATGAGGTATTTTCCTGCCGCACTGAGGTAAGGGGAGGAAAGGGGAAGGGAGCACATTAAAGAGGGAGTTTCTTTAAAAGCCTCAGAACTACTTATGAAAATAAAATACATTTTCAAATTTAAAACACATTTTCTGGACCATAGGCACAAAGTAGAAATCAAACGTACAAACCTTATAGAAAGCTGCAACCCCCAGGGAAACAGCGAACGCTCCGACAATATGAAATCGCAGGCGCTTGGCCAGAAGGCCTCGCATCTGAGGTTTCGCCAAAGCACCGGAAGTCATGGTAATTATTCTCCTTCAAAGATAAAATAATAATAAAAACAACTCTGAGAACATAAAAAGATATCTAAGGGATCCTTACAATAACGCACTTTAATACCAAGAGGGGCACAGGCATGATCCCTCCCACAAAGCCTAAGGTGTTTAAAAGCTTAGTCTGCTTCATGGTCGCACGCTGAACGACGACCCTAAACAAACCAAATCATTGCGGCCCAACAACAGAAAGCAGGGAGTATAAATTACAAACAAAATTATCTCGACCCCAGGAAAGATAAGCAGTGGCTCTAGACTGACAAGTGCAAACGCATTTAGAGCGTTTACTCTCGTGCAAACTATCAGCTCATAATTCCCACTTCTTTGACGACAAAACTGGGGCACACGAAGGAGACTTTTCCAAGGTCACGCGGTGAAAGATTTAAACTCGGGCAGGAGCCCAGCCGTGACCTCCAGGGCCCACCCAATGACCGCGGCGCGGCCCCATAGACTTTCCGCCAAGGCGGCCGGGGCGCTGGGAGGCTGCCGGATGCCCACCTTCCACCCCCCTCCCCGTTCCACCAGGCACGGCAACCCTTTTCCAGCTTCCCGAGAGTGGAATCACCAACGTTACCACGCAGCGAGCACCGACCTCGCGCCGACGCAGCTGGCTGTTTCCCCTACGTAGCCCCTTAGCCTCAAGACCGCCTGAGGAAGAAACCGCCGCTCCCTTTGCACAGGTGAAAACGCTGGGGCCAAATGAAATGACCTAACCAAGGTCACACTAACTGGAGGAAAAACCACAGCAGAGACCAGGTCCGGGCCGGCCGCCTTCGACGCCCACCTGCCTCCTCCAGACCCCTGCAACCCAGTCTGCCCCCGGGGGCGCTGGCGGTCAGCCCGCGCGACCCTCCAGAGGCCGCGGCGGGGGCGTGCAGGGGTCAAGCCAGCGAGAAGTTAGAAGCTCCTGACCGCAGAGATGCAAGCGCAACTCAATTCCAGGGCAGAGCGAGAGCAGGCAGCGGGATGCGGCAGTTATGAGAGCTCAGACGACAACACCACTCACCTAACACCAACCTTAAACCCAACGTCCTTCCTGAAACAGAAATGGACGGCGGTCCAGCTGAGCGCAGGCGCAGAAGCAGCGGCGAGGACCCAGCGACGGTAGCCGGAAGAGTTCAAAAGACCTCCAGCGCTCCTCCAGCCGCTCACGGCTGAAGTTCAAGGGTATGGTTCGTTTCTTCCCTGTGGGACGTTAGACTAAAGACCTGACCTTCTGAGTTGGTTTTCTTTTTTTCTTTTTTTTTAATTTTTTTTTTTCTGAGTTGGTTTTCTTAATAAATTGGAGATTTTATTCTTACTCATATACATAGTTGGTATGAATTTATTAGAGAATACAAAGATAGTTAATATGTGAATATTTTAAAATGTACCTTACAAATACAGAACAAATCATTCTGGGCCCATGGAGTGCGTGAACCGTGTGCACAAACTGCCATTTACATTACAACTATCCTCAGGTGAATAATCGTTTGGTTTGGGTAAAGGGTGAATAAGATAGCCAAGTTCTAGGACCTCAGAGCCCTGCTGATGAGACAGACATAAACAGATTTACATTAATCCCAAGTGGAGGACACTTCCACAGAGACATGACCCAATGAAACAATTACCCTCCTGACAGAGCTGATACAAGGAATATTTGTGTGGGGTTTTTAGTAAAAGACATGTATCTTTTTAATGTTTATTTATTTTTCAGAGAGAGAGAGACCCAATGGGGGAGGAGCAAAGAGGGGGCAGAGGATCCCAAGTGGGCTCTGTGCTGAGAGTAGAGAGCCTGATGGAGGGTTTGAATTCAGGAACTGGGAGATCATGTCCTGAGCTGAAGTCGGCTACATAATTGATTGAGCCACCCAGGCACCCCAAGAGACAAATATCTTAAAGGAAGACAACTGGAAGTTTATGGAAAGTGATGTGTAGGGGTAATGTGCTTGTGCCTTAGGGGTGTCAAGCTTGGTTTTTATTAAAATAACCTTGATTTACAGTGTTCTTTAAGTCAACTCAGCAAGCACTGTGGAAGATACACTAGGATACAAAATATACATGATATAGATTAAACATATATTGATTGAGCATTTACTATATACCAGGCTCTGCTATATAGTAGGACAAATCTTCAAGGAGGTACATTCTTGTCAGGGAGTCTTTGTTCTCAACAGACACTCTATAGAGAGACCTTTCAGCCATATAGAAAATATGCTAATTGAGGGCCAAAGTGGGTTTGTACCTCAGTAACACTCTTTTCAGACCTCTTGTCAACCATCTACCCCACTAAAAATCTTTACAAGGGTTTTCCCAGGCTGTAACCTGTTCCTATTTTCTTTCCATCCGCACTCCCACAACTGGCCCAGAGAGAAAACAGTAAATTTCAGAACTTACAGGGATTGCTGTGTATTGAATACTCAGGGAAGGCTTCAGGGAAGTCATGGAAGAAATGGAAATGGAGCTGAAACTCAGTCTAATGGAGAAGCCTAGATAAGTGGAGAAATCTAAGAGACAAAATTGGTCAGAAGACTATGGCAAAGACAGACACACTCAGGGAACAGAACTTAGCCTGGATGGAGTGTTTATTGGTGGTTTAGGAACACTGGATGGGTAGAGAAGCACATAGTCAATCATAATAATCCAAGGTGACACATGAATAGAACCTGAATTATAGGGGTGAATAGAAAAGATGGCATATGTGGGTTCTGTTCTGGATCCTAACAGACCTGTATTTGAGTCCCAGCTCATGACCTCCTGGCTGGGAAATTTCTTAATCTTTCTAAGTCTGCTTTCTCCTCTCTAAAATGACATCCTTTTTTCTTTAATGATATATTTAACCCAGTATATTAGTATTAGTATTATTTTAACACATAGTCAATATAAAAATTATTCATGAGATTTTTACATTCTTTTCTCATACTAAGTCTTTTGAAATATTGTATTTTTCATGTATAGTACATCTCAATTCAGACTAGCCACATTTCAGTTTCTCATAGCCACATGTATTATTGGACAGCATAATTAAAACACTTTAGTCATAAGAGAATGCTCAAGATCTATTGCTAAATAAAAAGGCAGACTGCAAAACTATGCTGTGTGGTCTAATTGTGTAACACACGCATGAAAATATACATATGTATGGATAGTAGAAAATAGTATTGAAAAGAGTCCACAACAGAAACTTGTATTGGGGATAATTTTTTATATTTTGTCTACTTTTATGTATTCTCTGTTTGATCATGCCTTTCTTTTATAGTTAGAAAAAAAATTTGATTTTCTAAAGGAGAGATATATTTGTTTATTATCACTGTAACAAACTACGAAAAACTTACCTTAAAACAACACAAATTTGTTACCTTACAGTTCTGTAGTTCATTAGTCTGAAACAAGTCTCACTGGACTAAAATCAGTGTGCCAGCAGGGTTGTATTCCTTCTGGACACTTTAGAGCAGACTCTGTTTCCTTGCTTTCTCCAGCTTCCAGGGGCTGCCTACATTCCTTGGCTCATGGTCCCCTTCCTCTATTTTCAAAGCCAGCTATGTTGCATGTCTCTGATCCTGATTTCGATGTCACATCTCCCATTCTGACTGTTTTTTTCTGCCTCCCTCTTCCATAATCTCCCTTGTGATTACATTGGGTGTACTTGGATAATCAAGGATAATCCTCTTATTTTAATGTCAGCTGATTAGCGACCTCAATTTCATCCGCAACTCCATTCCCCTTTGCTTCATAACATAACATGATCCAGGGATTAGGCCATAGAACCCAACTTGGAAGGGTCATTATTCTGCCTACCACAAAAGGCATAGTCATGATTGCACTATCTAAAAAATCTCTCTATTCTCCTCTCAGGGATATGGTAGGACTATACTTCCCTGATGCCTTTAAAGTTAGGATATGACTCGCTTTGGCCAATGCAATAGAAGTGGAAATGACATGCGTCAATTCTGGGTAGAAGCTTTACAACACAACGTGTGTCTGCCATGTTCTCTTTGCCCTGACTTTGTTATAAGGGAAGTATTGATTGAAATGGCACTTATGTCAGCTGGATCTGAGAAAGATTAAGATAAGCAGAACCTTCCTACTATTTTTCACTGGCCAGACTCTGTGAGTGAGAAATAAATGGTATGGTAGTGTGTTATTCCACTGAGATTCAGGGGTTGTTTGGTCCTATAGACAAACTTAGCTTGTCCTGACTGGTAGAAGAGGTTAAGAAATGTATCTGTTTTAGTTAGGGGTGTGTGTGTGTGTGTGTGTGTGTAAATGCTGAGACAGGTTAAGTGATAGAGACCATGAGAGTGTGAAGAGGAAATGGGGACATTAAGGGGGTGGGGGGACACTGGAAATAAGCTATCTTGATCACCATACTTTCTCCTAAATTAGAACAAAATGGCTTATCCATGTTAGGGGCATCTTTGGGCCCACCTTTGACCTCTAGAGAAGCCCTAAATTTTGTAATAGAACCCATCTGCTGCTCAAGAGCCCTTCAGCTGCTAGCCCAAGAGAACCCTGGATGTTTGGGGCCCTCAGGAGGGGTTTTCCCTGAGGCATCACCTCCTCAAGCCTTCTTAGGCTGGTAAGGTACTATATTCTAGGGGACTCTGGACTCCCTGAAGTTTGTATGTGGATCAGGGACATGTTTTCATGCCATCCCAAGACTGAGCTACTGCCTCACTGTATCTGTAAGCCGTATGAAGCATCCAGTAGTTTACAAAACATGTTCACTTTTGTGTTTCCATTTTGTCCTCTCAATAATCCCATGAGATGAACAGGGATTTTTGTTTTTTATTTTTATATTTTATTTTATTTTTTTTTCAACGTTTTTATTTATTTTTGGGACAGAGAGAGACAGAGCATGAACGGGGGAGGGGCAGAGAGAGAGGGAGACACAGAATCGGAAACAGGCTCCAGGCTCTGAGCCATCAGCCCAGAGCCTGATGCGGGGCTCGAACTCATGGACCACGAGATCGTGACCTGGCTGAAGTCGGACACTTAACCAACTGCGCCACCCAGGCGCCCCTATTTTTATATTTTAAATTAAATGTTTATTTCTTTTGAAAGAGAGAGTGTGCATGCACATGCATGGGAGGGGCAGAGAGAGAATCCCAAGCAGGCTCCATACTGTCAATAAAGAGCCCAATGTGGGGCTCGATCCCATGAACTACAAGATCATGACCTGAGCCAAGATCAAGGGTCAGACACTCAACTGACTGAGCCACCCAGGTGCCCCAGGGACTGTTTTTTAGATTAAGACACTGAGGATTACAGTGGTAGAAAAATAGAAGAACTGGGAATAGAATCTAGGGTGGGATTCGTCCCATACCAGGGCTGTGGAGAGTGCTTCCAGAGGAACAAATCTACCTCAGTGAACACCACTCATTAGTCTGTGATGATTTGTTGAGCACCTACTCTGTGCTCTGTGTTGCTCTCCCTAATGGCTGAGAGTATAGTCCCAAGAAGCCACAAAAGATACTCCCCAAATCAGTAGATAATTTCATAACCTTCCATTTCTGTTTAGTTGAGTAGATATATCCTCCTAGGTCCCACTTAGAAAATCTAAGAAGTTATTAATTCAGACTAATAGTAATGAGGTCTGTGAAACAGCTAAGTGCCAGATGTTGTGCTTTTCTGGCTACTTCAGAGCTAGCAGTAATTAAAAACAATTTTCCTGGAATTGAGCTGGCATCATCCACAGAAGCTCTACATAGAGATGTTCTGACCTGATAAAGCCCTCTATGAAATGAAGCTATTAACTGAAAGAGTCACGTTAAACTCAACTGCATTAATAATACAGAAAGGGGGAAAAATCAAAGTTTACTAGATAGAAAAGAAAAAACAAGCAAACCAAGAGAATATGGAAATACCATATTTTAACTTCTAAGAGGGCACAACAAAGCCAAAAGATATAAATTATCACTCTAAGATAGGACACTTGAAAACTTTTTAATTCATTTGAAAAAGAGAGTCGCTTAGTAGTTACATTGCGATCTCTCTTTGAACTTGGTGTCGATTTTCATTTACAAATGTGTTGAACTAGTCATGGGTGCCTGGGTGGCTCCGTCAGTTAAGCATCCAGCTTCCACTCAGGTCATGATCTCATGGTTTGTGGGTTCAAGCCCCGCATCGGGCTCTGTGCTGACAGCTCAGAGTCTGGAGCCTGCTTCAGATTCTGTGTCTCCCTCTCTCTCTGCCCCTCCCCTGTTTGTGCTCGGTCTCTCTCTCTCTCTCTCTCTCTCTCTCTCTCTCTCTCTCTCTCAAAAATAAACATTCAAAAATATTAAAAATAAATCGGGGTGCCTGGGTGGCTCAGTCAGTTGGGCATCCGACTTTGGCTCAGGTCATGATCTCACAGCTTGTGAGTCCCAGCCCCCCTGTCGGGCTCTGTGCTGACAGCTTAGAGCCTGAAGCCTGCTTCAGATTCTGTGTCCCTCTCTCACTTTGCCTCTCCCCACTGGTGCTCTGTCTCTATCTCAAGAAAAAATAAACATTAAAAAAAATTTTTTTAATAAATAGATAAATCAAGGGGCCCAAGCAAACCTTTCAGA